CTTGTTGTCTCGGATTCTCCAGCATCTGCAGTTCCTACTATCTCTGAATCATAAACCCCTACTAGGTCTACTTAAGGAGGACAAGATAGTGCTGCCCATACCTTCAGCAGTGGGCTCTAATACTAAGTGTGTATAATTACAAGTTGAAACATTGTCAAGGAGTCCAAGTAGTAAATGCAGATGCATTAAGCTGTCTCCCACTGACAGATACATCACTGATGGTACCGCCACTGGAACAGTCCATAGTTGTTTTCAATTTTATGAACGCGCTTACAGTCACAGCTGACAATATCAGACTTTTGATGCAGGAAGATCCAGTCCTGGCAAAACTGAAGCAGCTGCTGGTAATGGGGAAAACCAAAGGGCCGTCACAACCAGAACTGAAACCTTTTGGACCCGGAGAGACCAGATGACAGTAGATAACGGCATATCATTATGGGGAGCAAATGAGATTGTCCCGAGCAAAGGTCACCACCAGATACTGGCTGAAATCCACTAGGGGTCTCTAAAATGAAAATGAAGAAGTTGAGTCTGGTGGCCAGGCTTGGATGCAGACATAGCTGCATTGGTGGGGCAATGCCCAGAGTGCCAACAAGGACAAAGATTACCGCCATCAGCTACCCCAGATTCATGGGAATGGCTGGGCAAACTCTGGACTTGGTTACACTTTGACGATGCAGGTTCTTTCATGGGCTCAAAGTTCTTAGTCATTGCAGACACCCATTCAAAGTGGCTGGAGACGCCTAGAGTTCATCAAACACGGTTATGACAATAGAAAAACTGTACACCTCTTTTTAAATACACAGACTCCCAGAAGGTCACAGATAACAGGCCATCATTTACCAAGGGGGAATTTGAGTAGTCAAATGGGATTTGACATATAAGGTCAGCTTCACAGCATACATCATCCAATGGCCTGGCAGAAACAGCAGTCCAACCTCCGAAGGCAGGCTTGAAGAAATAGCTTACAGCTTTGCTAGATACCAACCCATCCCAGTTCCTATTTGATTATAGCATTGCTCCTCATGCAACTGCAGGGATAGCTCCAGCAGAGTTACTAATGGGGACACTACACCACATTCTTCCTGGACCTGGGTTGAGGGGGGAAAACGGGTGCAATATAATGGCATCAAGAACACCAGTGTCAGATGCCAGATGTTAGCAGCGATCATCCTGAACAAGCACATGGACCATAAGAATGCCGCAAACTTGCAAATGGTGCGGAAGCAAAATGTGCCCTACTCCTCCAAACAATCAGAAAGGCTGTCAGAACCCATGGGTCTCCATCTCTGTCAAGTTTTGAAGAGGCCTCTGAATCGGAGATGGACACAGCTGATCTCCCTGCGTTGATGCCTTTGTCACCAGAAGAATAGAGTGAATTTCTCCCACGATGCTCCAGGCGCAAGAGGTGAGCTCCGTGTGTTACATGCCGCCTGTATCCAACGCAGAGTCGGAGGAGCCTGAACCTGTGCTAAAACACCCAAAGAGGCACCTCAAGAGAAGGGACCAGCCTATATCCTTGGACTCAGAGGGGGAGGGATATAGTGATTGTAACGGTCAGCCAGGTGGACTTCTTAGAATGTGTGTTCCCTGAATGGGGCTGTTAATCTGGTCCAATCAGGGAGTCCCGGCTGGCAGATATAAACAGAGTGTCAGACATTCTAACACTCTGAGAGCTGGCTCTAAGGGAGCTGGATCAGTGTCCAGGATTTTCGATGTATAAATAAAGGGTGACTTGATGACATACTGGCCTCTGCAGAGTTATTTCAAGAATTCTCCAAAAGAAATTGGATAAAGCGTATTTCACAATCATTGCTCCAGTTCACTGTGTGAATGGGAGTGGCATTTGAATTTGCTAATGTTGACATTACTGGGAGTGATTATACAGCAATTTTTGAAGCTGCAAATAATAGGCGTGTAAAATCCAAACAGAAGATTCTAGTACATGCCGCACCTGTAAAGAGAAAGGACAGGTCCCTGCTGAACTAATTAATCTCAGGAGGGCAGCAGTTGATTTGCTATTATTGGCCTTAATACCCTGAGGTTAGGAAGAATAAAAATGAATGAGGCTGTTTATTCTTGACGACTGTTGCTTGAAAGTGTTATGTGGACAATTTGCAATAGAATAATTTAGCATTACTGTTGACTAGCCTTATGATAAAGAAAAATCACTTGGGTTGTCTGTACCAATGAGATAGTACTATGTAATAGTAATCACAATCTCAAATGGAGGAGAGAAAAGGGAATAAGTAGTTTGCATTTTTAAATGTTGTAATTCTTTTTTTTAAAAAAAAGCAAGTAGCTGCCAGCTCACAAGAAACAAGAAATTATTAATTCACTTGAAAGAAAATTCCTTCTCCCTTAAAAGCACTGACTCATTGCTGGAGTATGACTTTACAAGGATCAAACACCAATAGTATCTTATACAAACATCATCACTTGCATAAACCTTGGTAGTTGACAATGAATGCAGCTGATGGAACCCTTACAATAATTGTACAGTGGTAAGAGAAAATGCTATTAAAATGGAAGGAATGAATACAAAGATATCCTCTGTGATCAAAACTACACTAGACTGGAGATAAAGAGCCAATTATATCTGCTTTTGAATTGGGGAAACTCATTCAGCAATTTATACTCACTTCTATTTAAATTGGATACAGGTACTTCAGGTACGAGGAATTTTATAAATGTATGGGACAAAGTGAACAGTTCAAATTAAATATACTATGGGTATGCAAACAATGCTGTTCTGGAATGTGCAGGAATCTGCCCTCTCTAACCTTTACCTGCATATGTGCTGCAACTCCGTCAATGTTACATGGAAAATGCCTATTCATCCTCTTTGGAATACTACTTGCTTATCTGTAACAGCCCCTTAGGCATGAATGAAGCCTGCTTTGTTTAGTGCCTTTAATACACCTTATTTGATAAGAACCAGTAACATTAAAGAATATTGGAATCATATTTTTCTAGTTGCTTGATGCAATACAAACTGTCAATGTCAAAATATACTAGAAACTTTGAAGATTCTATTCAACACTTTATAGATAGTCACCCTCAGCAAATGTACTTAGATATTCTAGCTAGTACCCAATCCAACGTCTCTGGCATTCTGTTCTGGTAAGCAAGCGGGGTGGGTCCAGAAAGGTAGATAACAATTGGTAGGAAAATCATTTACTTTTATTTCAAAATTGTGCAATGCTCCAGATACCACAACCATTATCCCCACCACCCACATTCTGCTAACTATTTCTGTCTACCTAGATCTGCTTCCTGACACTTTTGCAATTCCTTTCCAATAGTCTGTACTGCTTGTACTAGACCCACCTTCTTTTCTGAGAACATATTTATCACACTCTCTTCCATTTTACTATTGACTGATGCATCAGTTTCTATCGCTGAACTTGATTATGGGATGGATAAATTTCATATTCAGGGCTGAGTGGAGTTGAGGATAATCAGGTCAGCCATGATCTCATCAAATGGCAGAGTAGGTTCATTGGGCTGAATGGTCTACTTCTGTTCCTTTATCTCATGTGGTTAAACATAATTAATTATATAAAGGCAGGTTATTCTTGCTGTTTAGGGAAAAAGGAGTTATTACAGCAAAATGATATGCAAAGTCCAGATCAACTTCCCAATAAGTCAGAGAATCCAACCTATGTTACAACAGCAAAAGAGAAGTCACTGTAATCACAAACACTACCAATCATTAGGTTGCAACAGGTCCCAAAATGGCAGTAGGGAAGGCCTTGCAGAAATCAAAGGGATCAATCAGACTTGCAGGCTTCCAATGGCCAGTCTGTGCTATCTGTAGGAGGAGGGAGAATGTGGATGGTAATACCTTTGGGGTTCTGAATGGGCACGGTTGCCCAGAAAGGAGCCACCTCGTTCCAAACAGGATTTACCTAATGAGCCAGTAACGAGGAGCTGCAGGTAAACTCTCAAGAGGCAGCAGGAGGAAGTTCTGAAAGTCCATAAGTGAGCTGGCAGATGAGCACTGATGTAACAGAGCTGCTGGCAAGGTGCCCAATCTTATAGCCACTTCATACCCTTAAGTTTGCCATCCTACTCAAGGTCAGAAGAAATTCTTGTCCCCGTAACTTTGTTGTTAACATCAATTCAATTTGCCATGGTTTTATATTTTAATTCTGGGGGAATCAAAACTACATTAGTAATGTGAACCCTAGGACCAAGTTTTGCTCCAGTAATCAATCATACATTACTTGATTAAATCTCAACTTTTGAAAAATCTCATCCTGAAATTTTGCTCATCTTGAATTTAATTAGTAATTGAGTTACGTACACATTTACAAACTCCACTTCAAGTCTATGATTTGAGTTAGTTTCGTTTAACTGAAAATAAGTCATCACTTTTAAGCAAAAGACTTTTATCTATTAGCTTACAAAAAGAGAATGAAAATAATTAACTAGTTACCAACATCATGAAATTCACCTACAAATAACATAATCTCCTTTCACTGAAAAAGTACATTTAATAGAAGGTTTTGTATATGAATCGATCCAATCAATTAAGGCTGTAAAAAGTAGCATTCAAATATATTATAGTTGTTAACTGGAATGTACTTTTCAAAGGGTCACCATCAGGATTTTCACAGTAAAACGTAAAATAAGATCCAATGAACCCTAGTAAAGCTCCTGGACTCGCATGGTAAATTATTTGACGTATTCAGGTATTATAAGCCACTGGCCCTGTCAAACAAAATGTGCTTAGCTTGGCTATTTTGACATTCTTTTTTGACAAGCGCAATAATTTGATCTATATATAGGTCTCAATAAGAACACCGAGTGAGTATTCTGTATGATTAGCACAACATATTGATTGAGCTACAGTTGGGTAACTGTAAAGGTACAAATATTTGGACAGATACAGTTTTAATGCTTAAAAAGCAATTCTAAGGTCATGAGTTTAAGTCTATGACAAAGAGCTGTGAAATAAATGCAGTATTAAATCTTTGAAAAGGAGTTATTTGAAGGATTCTGGCAAGGAAATACTGAAAAACCACCACTAGTTGAGATTATAAAGGCCTTCAAAAAATAACCTTCAACAATGTCATAATTCTAATGACTAATAAAGCCTCATGCCACTTGCATGTAATCTAATAAATCTGTAGAAGTGTTCACCAAAACATTGTGAAACTATTCCCCTTTAATATCGAATTCGTAAGTCAGTTTACAGGAACAGTATTTCTACCCATTCCCAGGAAATCATAGCTTATCTCTGCAATATCAAAAACTTGATAAGCATGTTCTGGAGAAAGCAGGCTGTACAGGGATCCATTTTTTTCTTGACTTTCTTGTAAAAAGTTAGCAATGGCCTTCCAGCGGCTTATTTCAACTTCATCATCGATCCATTTGTTTGCTGGTAACATTGTGGAATGAAGAAGAGGATATGCACTGTCATGGTACACTTGGACAAATAAATTCTTCAGAAATGTTGCATCCCTCTGAAAATAACAGGAACAAGTTCTAACTTATTTCAATAATAAGGATTTTTAATATTCATTTAAAAATAAGATTAATTTTATGATTTTGTTGTCAAAGGATTTCAAAATTTAAACCAAAATAAAACAAAAATCCTGAGTAAAAACATTCTATAGGATAGGTTCCCATTCGAAACAATAAGGAACTTATCTTGGTGTATTCTGCACACTTCACATTAAAATACTAATGTAAAATACAATAACTACTAATCCAAGGTATTTTCTGATGAAGGGTCTAGGCCCGAAACGTCAGCCTCTCTGCTCCTATGATGCTGCTTGGCCTGCTGTGTTCATCCAGCCCTGCACCTTGTTGTCTCGGATTCTCCAGCATCTGCAGTTCCTACTATCTCTAATCCAAGGTGTTGGCAGGTTTATGTAAACATATAGATTAAAAAAAAAAGACTCTTACGGCACAGTGGGAGTGTCCCTATCTCTTGGACTGAAGGTCACCCATGTTCAAATTCTACCTGCCATGTAGGTGTGACATAACATATCTGAACAGATTGATTAAAATAAGTTCTATATATAAAAACAAACTTCAGAAATTGTAGTTATACTGCCACTTCAACATTTTCAATTTTGCAATGATACAGTATTGCTGTATACTTTAATACATTGAATATGATAGTATAATTCAGAAGTCAAATTGAATATCTTTTATATTTATACTTTAAATTTAATTGTGTTGCCTTTTACAGCCACTGGACATCTCTCAAAGTATTTGTCAGCTAACAAAGTACTTTTTGAAGTGTAGTTACTGATGTGGTAATGTAACACTGTCACCTCAGTCATGATATTCAAGGTTCACTTTCCAGGAGAATGAGAGATGTAAAATGCCAGCAGCAGAAAATTATAAAATGGATTGCTAGTTGCAATAAATGTTTAGCTTCACGATTGCAGTTTCACAGAGTATCGGCTGATTGTGTTATATCGTAATATTATGATATCATGAAATCAGAGTATTCATTAATTAGCAAGATATAGGCTACCATTTCTCCTCACCTGTTAACAACATGCATTTATGGGGCAATGAATCTCAGAAGATTTAAAAACAGCATTTAACACTTTACCTTCATAGGCCAGCTGAGAGTTGCTTCCTTTTCAGACCATGCACTCTGTCAAATGGAAATCAAAATATTGTCAGTAATGGTGAGAATATTTATCATGTTTACAGTACTTCCATCAATAGTAAAGGAAAATGTCCTTATTTGCAGTTACAGAAATAAAAATATTCAAATAGATATGTAGAGAAGTGTAAAGTGTTTTTTTTTTGTTATAAAGAACAGGGAATGACTATTGTCTAAGACTATTTGTCTAGACTATTGTCTAAAGTAATGGTGAATGACTGAATGTTCTGGATGTGCTGCCAATCAAGCAGGTTGCTTTTCCTGGACAGTGTCAAGCTTCTTGATTGTGGTTTGAGCTGCACTATTCCAGGCAAGTGCAGAATGTTTCATCACACTGCTGACTTGTACCTTGTAGATGGGGGACAGGAGGTGAGTTATTTGCTACAGTATGCCTAGCCTCTGACCTGCTCTTGTAGCCACTAATTATCTGGCTAGTCCAGTTCAATATCTGGCTATTGGTAACCCCCAAGATGCTTATAGTGGGAGATTCAGTGACACCACTGAATGTCAAGGAGCAAAGGTTAGATTGTCTCTTATTAGAGATGATCTGCCTGGTATGTGGATGGAGCAAATGTTAGTTGCCACTTTTCAGTCCAAGCTTGGAATTTGTCCAGGTTTTGCCACACTTGGACATGGACTACTTCAGTATATGAGAAGTTGGGAATGGTGCTGAACATTGTGCAATCAGCAGCAAACATTCCCACCTCAGACCTGATGATGAAAAGTCACTGATGCGGCAGCTGAAGATGCTTAAGCATAGGACATATCCTGAGGAGCTCCTGCAGAGATGTCCTGGTACTTAAATGACTGATCTGCAACAACTACAACCATCTTCCTATGTGCCAGGTATGACTCCAACCACCAGAGTTTTCTGCGATTAACACAGACTCCAATTTTACTAGGGCTCCGTGATGCCGCACTTGGTTAAATGTGGCCTTAATCTCAAAGGACATCTTCCCTGGAATTCATGTTTTAACCAAGTTTATCATGAGGCCAGGAGCTGGATGGCTCTGGCAGAACCCAAGCGGTATGCTGCAAGGAGTGGTGCTGGGCCCACTGCTTTTCGTCATTTATATAAATAATTTGGACGTGAATATAGGAGGAATGGTTAATAAGTTTGCATATGACACCAAAATTGGCGGTGTACTGGACAGCCAAGAGGTTATCTCAGAGTACAACAGGACCTTGATCAAATGGGCAATGGGCCGAGAAGTGGCAGATGGAGTTTAATTTAGATAAATGTGAGGTGCTGCATTTTGGTGAGGCGAATCAGGGCAGGACATATACACTTAATGATAAGGTTTTGAGAAGTGTTGCTGAACAAAGAGACGTAGGGATGCAAGTTCATAGCTTCTTGAAAGTGGAGTTGCAAGTAAACAGGATAGTGAAAGCAGCATTTGGTGCATTTGCCCTTACTGGTCACTGCATTGAGTATAGGAGTTGGGAGGTCATATTGCAGTTGTAGAGGACATTGGTTAGGCCACTTTTGGAATACTTTGTTCAGTTCTGGTCTCCCTGCTATAGGAAAGATGTTGTGAATCTTGAAAGGGTTCAGAAAATATTAACAAGGATGTTGCCAGGGTTGGATGTTTTGATCTACAGGGGGAGGCTGAATAGGCTGGGACTATTTTCCCTGGAACTTCGAAGGCTGAAGGGAGACCTTATAGAAGTTTATAAAATCATGAGGGGCATGGATAGGGTGAATTGCCAAGGTCTTTTCTGTAGGGTAGTGGAGTCCAGAACTGGAGGGCATAGGTTTAAGGTGAGAGGGGAAAGATTTAAAGGGAACCTAAGACTTCTTCATGCGGAGGGTGGTGCATGTATGGAACGAGCTGCCAGAGGAAGTTGTGGAGGTTGGTACAATAACAACGTTTAAAAGGCATCTGGATTGGTATATGAATAGTAAGAGTTTAGAGGGATATGAGCCAAATGCTGGAAAATGCGACTAGATTAATTTGGGATATCTTGCCATTGTGGGCAAGTTAGACTGAAGGGTCTGTTTTCACGCTGTGCATCCCTATGACTCTAAGTGCCGAGAGAGTGATCCATCTCGGTCTTCTCCATAGGTCCAAGCAGTACAGATGCCAGTCTTCAGCCAATTCAAATCACTCCATGTGAGATTAAGAAAAAGTTTGAGGCATTGGATAATGCAAAGGCTATGAGTGGTGACAACATTTTGGCAACAGTACTGAAGACTTGTGCACCAGAACTTGCCGGGACCCTTGGCCAAACTGTTCCAGTCCAGCTATAACATTGACATCTATCTGACAATGTGAAAAATTGCCCAGATTTGTCACGCGCACAAAACATCCAAAAAATACAACCTGGCCATTACCTTCCCGTCAGTCTACTCTTAATCGTCAGTAGTGATGGAAGGTATCAACAACAGTGCTGTCAAGCAGCACAAGCTTAGCAATAACCTGCTCACTGACACCCACCAGAGTCATCAAGCTCCTGGCCTCATGATAGACTTGGTTAAAACATGAATTCCAGAGAAGACAGCCTTTGAGTTTAAGGCCACATTTAACCAAGTGTGGCATCACGGAGCCCTAGTAAAACTGGAGTCTGTGCTAATCGGGGAAAACTCTCTGGTGGTTGGAGTCATACCTGGCACATAGGAAGATGGTTGTGGTTGTTGCAGATCAGTCATTTCAGCACCAGGACATCTCTGCAGGAGTCCAAAAAGCAACCTTGCAGCAACACCCTCTGTCTCCTATCTTCGAGCCACCTAAGTATCCAAATTGCTAGCTTTCCCTGTATTCCATGTGATCTACTTTGTTAACCAGTCTGCCATGCAGAACCTTGTCAATCGCCTTACTGAAGACCATATAGACCATGTCCACTGCTCTGCCTTCATCAGTCCTCTTCGTTACTTCCTCAGAAAACTCAACTGTTAGTGATTTCTGGCTGAAGATTGTTGCTAATGTTTCAGCCTTATCTTTTGCACCAAAGTGCTGGGTTCTCCCATTATTGAACAAAGAACAAATAAAATTACAGCACAGGAACAGGCCCTTCGGCCCTCCAAGCCTGCGCCGATCCAGATCCTCTACCTAAACCTGTCACCTATTTTCCAAGGATCTGTATCCCTCTGCTCCCTGCCCATTCATGTATCTGTCTAGACACATCTTAAATGACGCTATCGTGCCCGCCTCTACCACCTCTGCTGGCAATGCGTTCCAGGCACCCACCACCTTCTGCGTAAAGAACTTTCCACGCATATATCCCTTAAACTTTTCCCCTCTCACCTTGAAATCTCACCTACAAAACGGGATCAGTGGATTGGATCAGTCAAGTTAGAGAAACGTTTTGAGAATGCAAGGAAAATTATTATCACAGAATGATTCAAAAAGCAGACTTTCAAATTTAGAAACTTATTTAGATGAGCATCAAATATTAAAGACCAGTGAAGCAGCAAATCTGGCAGATACCTATACTCTCTCTCACAGACCATTATATATGGAGAAATGGACATATGGAAATCTTTCACCTCACCTGACCTTGAGTTACTAGAGATGTTCTTTTCTCTTTCGTGCACAGTCAATTCTTGTGGGAACCAAAAGAAACGTGGTGATTCCTCGGAATGAGGAAAAGTGTAGCTAGCTCCTTCTAACACATAAATCAGTCCATATATTGAAGATGGAGATATTTGTGGGTTATCCTCCTCCAGGGAGTTGTTGAATTGTTCACCACCATTCACAACTGGATATGGTAGGGCTGCAGAGTTTAGGTCTGATTCATTGGTTATGGGATTACTTAGCTTTGTCTATCACTTGCTGGTCATGCTGTTGGCACACAAGTAGTCCTGTTTTGTAATTGGGTTTACCCCTTATTTTTAGGTCTGCCCAGTGCTGCTCCTGGCATGCCCTCCTGCATTGATGCCAAAGCTTGATGCTTATGGTAGAGGGGGGATGTGTCAAGCGATGAGGTTACAGATTGTGTTAGAGTACAATTCTGTTGCTGCTGATGGCCCACAGCACTTAATTGATGCCAAGTCTTGATTTGTTAGCTCTGTTCAAAGTCTATTTGATATAGTATGTGATAGTGCCACACAACACAATGTGAGATATTATCAATGAGAAGGTTGGACTTTGTCTCCAAAAGTACTGTGCAGTGGTCATTATTACCAACACTGTCATGGACAGACGCACCTGTGGCAGGCAGATTGGTGAGGATGAGGCCAACTACATTTTTTCCTCTAATTTTCTCCCTCGCCACCCGCTTTAGTAATGTCCTTTTGGACTCGATCAGTTCTGGCTCATTGGTTAGTACTGCTTCCTCACAGCGCCAGGAACCTGGGTTCGATTCCACCCTCGGGCAACTGTCTGTGTGGAGTTTGCACATTCTTCCCTTGTTGCGTGGGTTTCCTCCGGATGCTCCGGTTTCCTCCCACAGTCCAAAGATGTGCAGGTTAGGTGGGTTATAGGGGGATGGGTCTGGGTGGGATGCTCTGAGGGTCGGTGTGGACTTGTTGGGCTGAAGGGCCTGTTTCCACACTGTAGGGATTCTATGATTCCTGTAGCGGTCCGGTCGAGCCACTCTTGGTGGTGGACGTTGAAGTCCCCTACCCAGAGTACATTCTGCATACTTGCCACTCTAGGATCTTCTTCCAAATGTTCTAAATGTTGTTCAACATGGAGGAACACTAAGTTGCCAGCCAAGGGAGCACAGCACATGGAGGATTCCTTGCCCATGTTTCATCTGATACAATGAGACTTCAAACACAATGAAGTCAATATTGAGGACTCACATGTTAACTCCTTCCCAACTGCAATCCACTGTGCGACCACCTCTGCTGGGTCTGTGTTGCCAGCTGGACAATACATATTCTAATGAGTGGACATTAATTACTGGAGGTGGT